TTGTAGCACAAACACATAAATAATATATTCCTATAAATAAATATTTATACATATTGTTCTTTAATTTTAAAACTTGCTTTTTTATTTCTTGAAATTTTGAAAAGACTTTAATTTAATTATTCCACGTGTAAAATAATTTTCTAAACCCTAAAAAAAGACAAATAATATCTGAAAGGGCATTATTGGAATTTCGTGTAAAAATCTTCCCTATAAAACACACACACTCATACAGAAAGAGTGACCAAAATATCATAAGGACTACTCTTAAAACTGCAAAGAATCTTCCCATTTTGCTTATTCTGCAATTTGCATAGAGAGATTAATTCTTTCAATCAGTTTACCAACACACGCTTGAACACACATGAGTATGTGATCTTGTTATACAATTATTTATTAATTTTGCATGCTTCTTTAAATGCTTTATGAGTGTTAAATCTTGTATTTGTTTCAATTTTCTATTTATTATCATTAACAAAAGGTTTGTTTTTGACGTTTTTAAGACCGACAAATGGAAGATCTATACGCCGAGAACACCATTTCGCATCATGCGACGTCGGTCGCCGCCGCGGAACCTACAAAGGTGGAGGAGGTTTCCGTAGAGGAAGAGACGTTGCAGAAGGCTGGCGGCGATAAAACGGGTAAATCTACCGCTTAGGGATCCAAAATATAATGGGGACATATATCGTAATTTCTAAAATTTTGGAAGGGCGTTTTAGTAATTTTAAATAAATTAAACCTATGAATAAGTAGGATTATGTAGAAAAAAATAGTCGTCCAAGTAATAATTGCTCTTTTAAATTAGCGTTTTCGTCATTTCGATATCTGCATTTATAACAAGAATTTCTTAGATTTTAATATTCTGCTAATAATATTTTTCAAAGATTTGGACTAAATTAAAAACTAATACTAATTAAAATTTGATTTTGAATCGTTTTCGATTCTTTCGTTTTTATGGACAAATCGAAAACGATTTGCAAAAAAAAAATAAAACTGTGAAAATCAATATACTAATTGGTTATTTTTTTACATGCTTCTATAAATGTTTTATGAGTGTTAAATCTTGTAAACTTGTTCCATTTTTCTAATTGTCATCATCTTTAACAAAATGTTCATTTTTGATATTTTTAAGACCTAAAAATGGGAGATATATGCGCTGAAAACACCATTCCGCATCATGCGACGTTTGACGCCGTCGCAGAACATGAAGAGATGGTGGAGGTTGCCCCCGTTGTCGCAAAGGAAGAGACGGTGGAGAATATTGGCAGCGATAACATAGGTAAATCTAACGTTTAATTAGGGTTCGAATGTAATGGGGACATACATTATAATTTTACGATTTTGTAAGGGCATTTTAGTAATTTTAAGAATAAATTAATACCTATTAATAAGTAGAATTAAAGTAAAAAAAATAGACATACAAGTAATAATTGCTCTTTTAAATTAGCGTTTATCCGTCGTTTCGATACTTATATTTATTAGGAGAATTTCTTATATTTAAATATTTTACTAACTACTATATTTCATATTTTGAAACAATACTAACCATTTATTTATAATAATGTACATGATTGATAGTTAATTTTGAAAAAAATATTTATAATATTTTGAAACAATACTAACCATTTATTTATAATAATGTACATGAGTGGTAGTTAATTTTGAAAAAAAATATTTATAAGATTTTGAAGCAATACTAATCTTTCAATTAATCATTTAGGCCACAAAATAGGTGAAGACACCCCTAATGGCAATGATCATGGAGTGGCGGCGAGCTTCTCGGAAGGCGGTGGAGGAAGCGGAGATGAGGTTTGTAGCATGAGAAAGAGAGGACGGCCGATGAAGCGGTCGGTGGGGGGCCGACAACAATTTGCAGAGATGCCATCGGAATATTATATCTCTGCACTGAAGCCGAGAAGAGGCCGCCCTAAAGGATCCACGGGAAACTTGGGTGCCTCTTTAGGAAATTTTGTTTATTTTTTCTTGATCATTTAGTTGTTCATATAAGAGATATTGCAGCATGCATGTATTTGTGAATCTGTCGTTGCATAAATTTTATTGATCAAGTTATGTATGATATACATATATTTATGAAGTGATATATATTGGCAAAATCAATTTAGTTCTTCTAGGGTGTGACATTCGTGCAATTCTAGTGCATCTAAGAATACTCCCATTATTCAAGATATATACATTTTTGTTTAGAATTTTTTTAAAATCAATTTTCCTTATTAATTATCAAAATATATATTTTTTATTCCATATATTTATTGTTTACCGGGAAAATATTTCTCGTAATATTGAAGGTGGAATTGTTGGGGAGACAGCGGGAAGAAACTTCACTTTCCACACCATTACAATTGAACAAGGAGAGGTATACTGTATACATAGATAATATATATTTACTAGATCAATTTATGTGTTATATTTGTGCGCATATATAATTCTATTGTCGATACATTTGTTCTCCGACGTACAAGATTAATTAGTCGTTATAGCTACGAGTAATATATTAATTATTATATTGTTTATCTTTCGTTGTTTGATCGACCAGGACATAGTGCAAAGAATCAGGTCATTTTCTGAGATGACTCCCGATGCAATTTGCATTATCTCAGCTTCGGGTACAATATCTATTTCTGAAGTTTACGTGCCTAATCCTCGCCGTGACATTTTCCGATACGAGGTATATATCTCTGCAATTTGCGAAGATGCCGCCGGAATATTATATCTCTGCACCGAAGCCGAGACGAGGCCGCCCTAAGGGATCAACGAAAAACTTGGCTGCCTCTTTAGGTAATTTTTTTTTTCTTTCTTGGTTATTTAATTGTTTATATAAGCTAAGTATATTGCAACATGCATTTGTGAATCTACCATTATTGCATTAATTTTATTTATCAAATTATTTATTATATACATATACTTATTTATATTGGCATGGTAAACTCAATTTAGTTCTTGTTGGGTGTGACATTCGTGCAATTCTAGTGCATCTAATACTACTCTCATTGTTCAATATATATAAAAAAAATTATGATATCAATTTTCCTTATTAATTATCGAAATATTTTTGTATTGCAAATAAATAAATTATTGACAAACTTTTATTCCATATGTATATTTATTGCTAACCGAGGCAATATTTCTCGTAATATTGAAGGTGGAAGTGTTGGGGAGACGGCGGGAAGAAACTTCACTGTTCACACCATTACAATTGAACAAGGAGAGGTATACAAATATAATACATATGTATATCAATCGATTCATTTTTTCTTCAACGTACAAGATTAATCGTTATAACTAAAAGTTACATATTAATTGTTTAACTTTCGTTGTTTGATCGACCAGGACATAGTGCAAAGAATTAGGTCATTTTCTGAGATGACTCCCGATTCAATTTGCATTATGTCGGCTTCGGGTACAGTCTCTATTGCTGAAGTTTACGTGTCTAATCCTCGCCGTGATATTTTTCGATACGAGGTATATATATATATATATATGATCTCTATATTTTGTTCATACTTGTAATTATTTTCGCAATTAATTTGATCTCGCGTATTGGTGGTACAGGGGGAGCTGACTATAGTACACTTAAATGGATCGCATACATATGATGGAATAAGAGGTGCTAAAAAGTGCCTATTAAGTGTACTTTTGGCTGATTCCGAAGGCCGATGCTACGGTGGTGATGTAGCCGGTTCACTTATTGCTGCCGGCCCAACTCGGGTAACCCGACATCTCAATATTTTTATTTTTAATTTTCTTGTGCAAAGTTTTTGTTTAGCTTGTATATATTGTATGTATTTAAACACACACAATAAACGCACATGCATGTGTACAAGTGTGTGCACAATTCACACAAAAAGGGGTTCCCCCCCGCCCCCCCCCTCATTTTAGCCACAAAAATAAAATAATAACAATAATCATGAATATACTTTTGAAATTATGTTTAGTTCCTTTAAGTTTAATTTCTTTATTTTTTTCAGTTTAAGAATTCAACACATAATATTTCATTTTAATTCCCAGGTTATCATCGGAACGTTTATTCAAATTTTGAGGCATCGAAAGCGTAGAACTGCAGCCCTAAAATCAGCCACTCGCAGCTCCATTTCTCCGGTAATTGATGT